AAACGGGTGTTTGGTTGTGTAGCAGGTACTTCAATCACGGGATGCAGTGAACAACATCAAATATGGTGTCTTGGCCATGTTCTACGAGCGCCGGAACACCGCCTGTCGATACGGTTTTGTTTTCTGTGCTTGCAGTAGAAATGCGCAAATCGTAATGTGGACAAAGAAAGACTTGGCAGAGGGGTGTGAGAGATTACATTGAGTTTGAGTGTTAGTGGTGCATTAGGCCTTTCGGGATTGGATCCCCGAGACTCTTTCTACGTTTAGCCGTGGAAATTGTAAGAGATGGCGGCTTATCGATATTAGTGGCATTTGTGCTGTCAGTTTCTTTCCATATCGTCTGACTGCACGCATTTATGTGTAGACACCTTAAAATGGCTGCGCTATGCCATCAACATGTTCTCTCCGTCACCCACTCTTTGTGATTCTTTTCATCTGTAAGGCTTGAATCTAGTTGGACAAGCTTGATGGTTGTACAGCAGTAATGTACTAGTGTCAAAATTGGTGTTGATATTTCTGATGATGACTAGTGACTTCAACGAAGGTGTTACGGCTATCTGCTTTCTGAGCTTGAGTCACGCGTGCCAATCCAGGTAAACGACCAAGAACTCCGAATTCTGGAACCACGGTACTGTTGCAAATATAATAATATTCATATTCAAAAAACCTCAACGGATTCTCTCTGCAGATACCGTAAGGTTACAAAATATGGCGGTACAATTACCAGCCCGAGGATAAAGCGCAGATCACTACGCCCCAAAATCGATATCGTCACAACCAAACAGATATCGACGCCGCCGGCTATTCGCACAATGAGATTGATTTCTCGAAATCTACGGCATCTTCAGACTTGCCACTTCATAGTGTAGAACGTCTATGTATATTGTATATGCTCCGGCATTATTGAAAATCCTTTACTATGGCGATTTGTTTAAGTGAACGAAATCTCCAGGTGAATAAACACCGCCGACTTTGAATAAGTTACCTGATGATAAAAAATCGCGAATTGTGGAAAAGGTTGACTCACATACAATGAACGTAACTTTCAGGTATTTTTCCACCGGAACAGATTTTTTCAACATCCTGGAATCCAAAGGGCCTTTGGAGATGCAACATATACGTAGGCGCATTCGTGCAAACAAATTTTGGTCGATGATTCTTTGTTGCCAGTAAAAATTCCGTAGTGCACACTAATTATTTGCTAAAGATCGTGCACGTTGGATGGAAAATCACAGAGTTTTTCATTATAGGTTCCGAATTATGCTAGAAAGACCTCGTGGTTCATCGATCTTAACCGACGCACACCACTAACATGCGGCTAGGGGTACGCGATGCCTAACTAACCAGCGCCTACGTCGATAATACGAGACAGCTGGACGATCTTAACTGACGCACACCACTAACATGCGGCAAAGGGTACACGATGCCTAACGAATCCATTCATCGGTACCGGAGAAAAGGCTCAAAATGAATATCTTGAAATTTTGAGATATATTGGTCGTTTTGAAGTTTACATATGTCCTTCTGTGAGGCGCATTTTCTTCTTCGTGAGGAGCGTTCATTTGGCCGTTGAAGTCCTGAAATGAGAGGAAGATATAATTCAGGTTATCGAAATACCACAATAAGGCGGGCGGCCGACAAACAGGTAGAGGTACTTACCCCAAAATTCAGTGCGGTGTCTATGCTGTCGTAGTTGATTGTTCAAACAATGCCATCTTCAGCGGTTATTTCGCATGCCTGTTTACTGCACCTCTCAAGAAATATGATGAATAGTTCTTACTGCTCGAAACGGACTGATCTCGGAATACAGAGAACAGGCGTACGCAGGGGAGCCACATTGCCTGATAGAAAGGGCATGTGCATTCTCCAGCACAGGTGCCAACAGTCTGGGAGCATCTGGGTGTTTGCACCACAAACTATAAGTTAGTTTACGCAGCTCGACCTCACGTTGTTTGTTTCGACACTTTCATACGGCAACCGCGGCGGTCGCGT